GCGATTGGGCGCCCAAAAGCTTCCTTACCAGGTGGTACGGGCGAATGCTGCCCTGACGAGGAAATGTCGACAGATTGGTGCGACCGATTCGACTTGGTCCATGGAAAGTTAGGCATTGCAGTGTTGACAGCTTCAAGCTCCGCCTCAGAGCAGGTTGTCGATGGCGGGGCGGAGACGACGCGCTCAGCTAATAATAAAACGAGACTGAGCAACCATAGACTATACCCGGGTAAGACTGCATCGCGCGGTTGGACAGCTTTCCTCAAGTACAATGCATCGAGCTACATAGATGCACGGCGTAGGTGATCAGCCCAAGCCGCCGCACGTGCAGGCATGCGGAACTAATGGAATGACATGGAGAAGGCAAGACCAGTCCCGGTGCAGCTAACACCGGACCAAGTTGCTGATATCGCGAGCCGTGGCAGTGCTGCTATTGCCAATTCCCTGCCGGCTGCCTCTAACGCCTTTCTGCTGTTCAAGGCTTCCAAGGCGCAATCGACGTTTCGTCTTCCCCGTTCTGTGCCTGCACTCCCGCATCCCAGTGACACAAGGAGACGACAGCAAACGTCGCTGGATCCAGATACATACACTGTGCCCATAGCCCGGCGGATGGAACCTGCAAACAAGAACGCCAAGTGGGGACAGCAGCTGTTAGTCTAGGCGGCGTTGCAAGCCCTCCTCTGCTCAACGTGCCTGAAGCTGCAGCCGCCCCTGCGTATCGCCTGGGGTATGCAAACTATACATATCGCGTCTCATTATTTTACACTGAGTGATTTGCTTTTCTTGTGCGATCGTGACATCTGCGACGTGTCCGAAGAGCTCAATGCCTGGAGTGGCAGATTGCATCATCACCATTACGGACTATCTCAAAGCGAGCGGATGTGCATCATCTCGCTCATGTTCCCTCAGCTCCGTAAAATGTCATGGGGCTATTTTTGGCGTCTGACATGTGCTAGCCGCGTTGGACTAGCTTGCCTATCGTTTCGGTTCTGATGCCTGTGTAAGGTTTCCTAAGCTTCCACGTTACACCACTTTCACACAAATCTCAACACAAGGCTGAGGTCTCGAAAAGCTGACCATCAGCCACTTCATGCACGCAATATAGCCAAACTCAATTGTCGGTCTCTCCGATACCTCACCGGCATTGACCGGACAACAAAAGACGCGAACCTATGCCGGTGAGGCGGTTATGCACGCCTCCTTGGAGGTGCGTGGGGACTACTGTATGCGCAAGTGTGGCGCTGCCAGGAACGATCTCTGTATGAGACATTATTACGCGCTTCTCTTCTCGATCGTACTGCTAGTATTGATGCAATGCCGAATCATCTCGCAAGAGGGTATGCTAGGAGCTTACTCAGATCATAGGTAAAGCGAACCCTGATATTCGCACGCGCGCGAGTTGGTTATTACCGCAATACTTCTCAACAAGAGCAGATTCTCATGTCGGTACCGTATGGATTGCGGAAGTTGTAGGTATCTCGTCGTCACGGATCATCGCGCTACCACTGAACGATAACCAAAATGTAGCCTTGTGATCTCGCACAAAGCGTCTATAGGCAAACTTTGACTACGATTAAGTGAATTTTCAATCACTACGCAATGGGATTGCGCAATAATAACTTCCACTGCCCGAAGTTTCTCCACTGAAACTTTACGAGCGTTGTCCTTACTACGACCACTTCAATACAAACTACAGATTTCTCCAACCTTCTCTCTCGACCATGGCCGATCAACAGGTGTTCCGATTTCTCGATCTACCAACAGAACTGCGCTTGATGGTCTACAAATTTCTCCCAGTCAAAACGAAACACCATGTCGTTCGAACGAACGATTTTGCTTTCTGGTTCAACAACTCTCACTATCACTCTACTCACTTACCTGAGCGTTTTCTCGAAGAGGGAGCACATTTCCAGACTCCCACCTCGAAATGGCCTGTATACTCCATGACGATAGTTTCCAAGAAGGTCCCCGGCCTAGCGATCCTCGCCACTAGTCAAAAGATCCATCTAGAAGCTGGTGAAGTGCTACATCCAAAGTTACGAGCCATCAGCAAATTACCAGCGCAGATTATCGTCAACAGTATCTCTCTGGGAAGTCTCGCCATGGTTGATGTGGTGACTCGATTGTCATACGCAAACACAACCTATTGGACAAACAAAAGCCGTCTCCTAGACTGGCGCGTAGCAGCACCGGAGTTGCGTCCAGGAAACGAACCCAGATCTCGACCCGTTCACGTTGCCATACGCAATTCATTCATCGACAGAGACACAGCCGAAGCATCGACAGACAACTTCAGAATGCAGTGCCTGCGGAATTGCTTCTACTGGTCACTTAGAAATGAATCAGCCATACATGCCGCGAGCTGCCCTACAGATGGCTCCTTCCCGCACATTGACCAGCATTTACATCTCCGTATGGCTGGATTGACTTCGCAGGAGGAAAAGGCTTACGACACATTTCGACCTCTGGACCGTGAAAGTTTTGGAAGATGCTGTCGTTGCAGGTCTACCTCGCTCATCGACAGCGGTGAGATTATTGGTGAAGAGGAATGGGAGGACGAATGGGCAGAACACGAGAGCTACCAATAAGGGCTATGATCGTCGGACAACGAAGAATAGAAGTAGTCTCACGCACGGGGAGGTCGAGCTGGATACTACTACTCAATTTTGGCGAACAACCATCGATAACAATGGACGCTGAGGGCGGAACCTGAAAAGAAACTCGAGAAAGACTTCCGTGGAAGTATCAATTGCATTACATGATACACTAATCTCAAAGTAATCTTACCTTCACTTCTACTTCGGGTCTGTGCGCTCACTGACTGTACTGCGCCTAAATGGCACTCATTTTCCGTTTGTACCTCTCACCACACCACATCAATACATTACCCAAGTTGGCCCAGGGACCGTAATCTCCAGCAACCTAACGAGGTCTTTATACGCCGAAGTCATGAAGATATCAACCACCGACCTACCTCCGCCTGAGACTGCCACGATGGAGTCATCAGAACAGCCACGCCGCCCATTATCCACGCTACTCTATCCAAGAATCGCGGAAGCGCCATCAGCATACGAAACATCACCCCAACTTTCGTCAATCCCTGAGTCACTGCCATGCCCACCTTCACCGCCGCCACCAAAAGCGCATCAAGAACACCCAACACCACCCTCACCACCAACCTCCCCACCCCTCATCGTCATTCACCCCGTCCCAGAACCCACCTCACCCGCCTCACCAACCTCGCCCTTCCCAGACAGTCTCCCACCGCGCCCCCAACCCGCACAAAACGGAACCCTCATCTCCCGCCTCTTCAAGCGCGCACCCGCCCACCCCGATGACATAGAGCTCGGTCACCTCTCGCGCGGACACACACCAGAGGTTCCTGTTACGGACGCGGAGAAGGAACGGGAGTACAGGAGGAAGAAGGTATTGTTCATTTACATGGTTTGGGGAGTGCTTCTCGTTTTGGCGATATGCGGGATGGTGGTTGGAGCGCAGATGTATAGGGGGAAGGTTGGTGGTGAGGGTGGTGGTGAGAAGGTTAATAACTTTGAGGTTGTTAATGAGAGTGGGGAGGTGGTGGGAGGGGGAGGGGGATGATGATGGGGGTGGTGGGTTGATTGAAGCAGATACACGGGCTGGATAGATCAATGTCCGGAAAAGTCTCACTGGTAAAGACAGCCATGTAGCCAGCATCAGTGTCGGAACGGAGGAGGTTGAGACGGAGGATAGATTGATGAAGATTGGCTGGAGTTTCACGAAGACATGGCGCGAGAAGGTTATGCTAGATATGCTTCGTCATATAATCTTCCTATACGGGATTTACGAATGTACTCAATGTCAATTAATAACTCGTGTGGCCTTGCACAGTAGCAGTTCGAGTTTGAGTGTCTCCAGACCTAATCCTGATTCTGTGTCACCTTCACTATCTCGCTTACTCAATCCGTCTTTGCTAGCTCGACTCCGACTGACCAACAGCAGACCACTCCACTCGCTGTTTTCTGCGCAGGAAAAGACGTTGCTCAACATAACCAATCTGCGTACTGCTACAGGTATGCCGTATAGAAGCATCACTACCTTGCTTTGTGCTGAAATTCTAGCAGAACCACCGCTCTCCACCGCCATGGCTCCCTACCGCACCAAAACAAATCAGCCCTACCTCCGCATCTTCGGCTTTGATCTCAATTGCGACGCCGTCACGAGCTACGACTCCAACACTTCCCAATTCGGCCGCGTAGCTACCTACAATGCCTGCCGCACTCAATACACTGTACAGCCCTACCACTCTGTCCCCGCAGTAGAACTCTACAGCGATCAGCGCAACGCTGGGCTACTCTACATCTTGATGGCAGCTGGCGCGGCAGCAGCTCTCGTAATTGGAATTGCAATGCTCTTATTCGGATTCATGCTGTTCTTGTTCGCTGTTTGTTGGATTGTGGCCTTCATGGTCGTTGTCGGATTGATGTGCTCGGTTATGTAAGGTAGATATGGAATGGGTGAGAAGTGAACTAACAGTTTGAACGACTGGAAGGAATACAAGATGTATGGCAGAGCTTGCTCATATTGATAAATGAGAGATGCAGAGCAGTTTCCAGTCAGCACGTAACTAGGATATAGTTCCAAGCTTGAGAATTGATGAGAAGAAAATCGGGTATGCTAGGTGGTGTTATTGGCTGTATATGTATGGACTCGAAACCTATACTCAATCTCACCCAATACTCCAGGTAGCCTCAAAGTCGAGGAAGCCGCGTTCCGGCGCGGTTAGACCAAGTCCAGGCGCTCTTTCCTCCCGTAGTCTTCACGTTGCCGCCTGCTCACTATTTCATCGTTCCGCTAGCTCTATTCTACCACCGCTCTACTACACCTGCAGCCTATTGTTGACTGCGCAAGAGCCAAATATCTACACTGCCATCTCCCACGCTACCATGAGTCTGCCACCCACTAACACCACTGAAACGCACCTTCCTAACTTCCCAGCAGAACGACCACTCTCACCCGCTATGAACGCCCCCGATAGCGAGATTGACTATTCCACGGACGATACCCCCTCGAGCATGGGGTCTGACGACGGTTGGGTCAACTTTGGCTGCGGCGATCTAGACGATGATATCTGCGGCAAGGACGAGGACAAGGACGACGACGACAACAACAACAACGACAACGACAACGGCGAAAACGACGAGAACAACGAAAACGACGACGACGAAAACGACGAGAACAACGACAACGACGACGACGACTCTGATCATGTTCACACTCACACCACTCACACCACTTACATCAAGATCAAGTCCAAAAATGGCGCATCCAGCCGGGTGAAGCCGCCCACCGTCTCTGTCAAGCATCGTTCGTCTCGTTCAAAAGTAAAGCACCACAATTCTACCACTGACCACCGCGACTTCATTGTCTGCTTCATGATGATGTTGGTCATTCTGACACTGTTGTTACCTGAGCGAACATTCGTTTTCTGCCAACTGGTGGGCTTCTTACTGGCCGAGGTTGCATCAATCTTAATCGAGGGAAAAACTCTCCGGTTTGTATTAGCTGTAGTGTTGTTCACTGTGGCGAGCCTCAAGAAGCAGAACCCGTGAAATGGAACAGGACGCGAAGAACAACGGTATGGGAGGAAAGGAGATGAGATGAGACGCACTTGTTCTTGTTATAAGTAAACACAGATCGCTTTAATGTGCAGGTATCACGGAGACGAACTCGAAGTTACTAGATGGTATCATTTGCTATATATGCATGAGTAGAGTGAGTCGACTATTACTAGGTCTCCTCAACATATCCCAAGGCCTCTCCAACCTTGACCTTCATCCCTTGTTCAATGTTCCACTTGAACCCACCCTTCCTCTCCATGCCGGTGAAGCCCTCGTCAAGACTGGGTCTTATCCCCTTTGGCGCCTCAAAGACTAGCACAATGGTACTTCCTAGCTGGAAACCTCCCATCTCTTCGCCGCGCTTGAGAGAATAACCACCTAGTACACGACTAGCGGAAGTGTAGGAGGCCTCAGCAAAACCGGAGTAGGGTTCGCCCCTCGCTGCAGCTTCTTCGGCGGCGCGGTCAGCGGCAGTGTCGGTGGTGAGGCTGTTGGTGCGGAGTTCGCGATCGAAGTTGATCTTGATAGATCCGACGTTGGTTGCGCCGACGGGTGTGTAGGAGAAGAAACCCCAGCGCCAGCGACCGAGCAGGACAACGCGCTCGTTCAGGGTGAAAAGACCGGGCATGGTGCGTTGTAGGTATGGAGATACACTGTACAGTTCGCCGGCGAAGTGACGGCGCGATTCGACGACCCATGATACTGGAGAGTGGAAACGGTGGTAGTCGCCCGGAGCGAGGTATACGACACAGTAGTAGAGTGCGGTAGGTGTCTTGTTGGATGCCGGTGCCCACCAAGGTCGCTCAGCTTCGCTCAAGGCCATTTCAGCGCGTACCTCGGCTTCTGATGAAGCAGCCGGTGCGGTGGACTGATCCGTGGGCATCTCAGATGGCTTTCCGCCTTTTGGCCATGGTCCTGAGAACAGGTTGGGCAAGGTATACGAGATGCCGTTCACGTTCGCGAATTCCTCATCTGCGCGGACAGTATCCTCTTCGTCCTTTGCGGTCTTCTCATGTTCGCTTGTGACGACCTGAGAGTTCGCGACGTTTTGGGCGGGTGTGCTGGGCTTGGTGGAGCCCAGAAGCGCATCTAAGCTGTATGTCACGCCTTTGACTTGTTCGACTTCGCCGTGCTCGATGGTACCGAATTGGATGACTTTGCCGTCTGCGGGAGAGAGGACGGCGTTGGGGTTAGGGTCGAGAGGGCGGACTCCGGGTTTTAGGGTGCGGTAGAAGAAAGCAGCGAGATTGGGGTAGACATGGAGGTCGGGCTCAGAGACTTCAGAGAGGCTGTGACTTGTTAGCATGAAGCATCGCTACTGGGCTGATGGTTGCTGACTTGACACCGAAGATCCAAGAGTAGAGCTTGAAGCCGGGTACGCGAAGGTAGTATGGAATGTCGATTTCGTTGAAGCGTCCCCAAACTCGCGAGAGGGCCTTTAGAGGTAGCGTGGACATGACCTGAACAGTCCATGGCCCGCTCGGTCGTATCCTCTCGCGCCTCTTCGGTCGGCCCTGGTTGTCCACTGCACCTTCCTCGCCATTCTGTCTCTCAGCCTCGGTATGCTTCTCCCTCCGTTGTATGCGGTAGAGCTGGAATGCGCCGAGGAAGCCGACGCCGAGTGCAATTGGGATGGGCTCCCATTTTATCTTGGTGTTCTTGAGTGCCGAGTTCAGCCGTGACCTGAAAGACTCTTTCCTGTGGAAGTTCTGCTCATATGTTGCGCGCGTGGAGGAGAAGGTGCGAGACGGGAGGGAGAAGCGCGCCTGTCGGTGTGTGGGCGTTTGGAAGCGCGGGCGGAGAGAGGCTCGCATGAGCTGGCGCGAACAGGAAGACGCCATGGCTATGTTGTATGCATCGGTCTCGAGTATTGCAGTGCGGGAAGACGGCCAATTCCCCAGCGACGAGATGACGGCTATGGCGTCGCGTGGTGGGAAAATCAACTTCCTCGGTTGACCAATGACGTATCCATCGGCGACGGGGCTCTAGCGCGCAACGGCGTCTACCGCTGGACATGGACAGTTCAATGCATCGCGTGCACAGGTCAAGCTTCTCGAAACATCCAAAGGCGAGGCGGCACTGACGCTCAGATTATCCGTCTGGATTTCATAGCAGATGGCAGGCGCGACCGTAGTCCTAAGCTGATACCAGGCTCTAATTCGGACACGTCGTCACTTCCCGACTTCCACCTGCACTCTTCACCTCGCACCATAGTCCCTCACTACACACAGCGGCCATGGCGGAAGAAGCGCAGACAATCAACCTCAAGATCCTTTCACCCTCGTCTGATTTCGAGGGTGGTGTGAACCTCGCAGACGTCCCCGCTTCCACCACGGTCAAAGAGCTCCGGAGCCGCATACAGGATGCCGCGCCCTCGAAGCCTGCCCCAGATCGCATGCGCCTCATCTATCGCGGCAGAGTAGTGGCCAATGATGCCGATACACTGAGCAACGTGTTTGGCGTTGACAATGTAGGGTCGTCAACCACGTGCAGTAGACCCACGCTGATGGTGAATACAGCTACGTGAGAACAAGGACCAGAGCCTCCACTTGGTGCTGCGGGAGCTTCCGACTACTGGGAACCCTCCAACGTCACCTACGCCACGATCCGCGACTGTCCCGAACCCTTTCCGCCCTGCGCAAGCCCCGGCTGTACCCGCAAACCCTCTGCAGACGAACCCTTTCCGCGCGCTGCCACAGGCTCGACCGCACTCGCTCCCACCACTACCACCGCACCACCATCATATCCCGGGCCAAGCAAACGCGGTTCCTATCCCTCTACCTCTTCCCCCACAACTACAACAACAGTTCACGCAGGCCATGGCGCAACAGGGACAGCAGAACAACGAGCAGACCCCAGACTCGACATCTCAGCAGCCAGGACCAGACGCACAGAGACCCGCGGATGCCGCCCAAGGACTGCCCAATCTCCCTGGAAATGGCGACCAACCACTACGACGCGAAGGCGTGGGTCCCAACGGGGCGCGCTGGACAGTCACATACAACCAGGTCAATATACCTGCGCAGATTCGACAGCCCGTTCCTGCATTCGGTCTTGCTCCACCGCTAGCGTTTGGTCGTCCACCGGTCCCGCCAGGCGTTATTCCCTCAATGGGCCACGACAGTACCCAGCGCTTGTTGCCACGCATCCAGACAATCTTCCAGGAAGCACAACGCGAGATGGAAAACGTGCGAACCTTGCTGCAGTCTGCGCGTTCATCAGAGACACAGACTGATCGACTTTCAATTTCAAGCACCCCTCCCCTGAACCTACCAGTTTGGCGAATCGATCACATCCGCCAACACCTCAACACCATCAACCAGAACTTGAACGTTGTCGAGCGGGCCCTCGCCCTTCTCCCTACGGAACCCGAAGTGGTAGCGCTGAGACGTTCAGTAACTGAGATTAGGGTGGACGCACTAGAATTGAACATCATACTCGATCGGCAACAAGGCGGAAGCCCCAGTCGATCAAGCATGTCCACAGCCATCAACACCCCGATTCTCGGACCTTCTTCTAGCACAACACCAGGCGCTCCGATAATGACTCCAGCTGTGCCTACTACATCTCAACCACGGACACAGAACACTACTCAGGCAATGCCTCCAGATGCGCCAACGGAGTTGTTTCTCTTATCAAGCCCTCAGGGCCCGGTTGGCGTTCTATTCGATCAGCAAGGCACATACACCACTGCCCCCATGGTCTCGACACTTCCATTTCAGAGTTTTACGAACCAGTTTGCTCAGAACAGACAGCTCCTCAATGGACTTGGACAGCAGATAGCACGGGGGAATCCGCCCCCTGACCTTGAGCTGCACAGGCAGCTAGCCAACATGAGCCAGACCCAACGTCGGGACTGGATCCAGAATCAAAACCAAAACCAAAACCAGAATCAAAATCAGAATCAAGATCAGAATCAGAACCAAAATCAGAATCAAAACGCGAACGTAAACGCCAACCAACCAGAAGAGAACGATCGTATGGTCAACGTCGCTGGGCATATGTGGCTGATCTTCAAGCTGGCAGCATTCGTTTACTTCTTCTCAGGAGGTGGTGGCCTCTATAGACCTATCATGCTTGGTATCGTCGCAGGTGTGGTTTACCTAGCACAAGCCGGCATGTTTCAAGAGCAGTTCAACGTTGTTCGTCGTCACTTCGAGGCTCTTCTCCCTGTCGGGGCCTTGGCCGAACGCGTGGCTCAGCCCAACAACCAGCGCCAAACGCAACATCGAGGTAACCTATCACCCGAGGAAGCTGCGAGGAGAATACTGCAGCAGAGGAGGGATCAGAGATTTGGATGGCTCAGGGACAGCATGCGTACAGTCGAACGCGCTTTTGCGCTGTTTGTTGCCAGCTTGTTTCCTGGTGTCGGAGAGCGAATGGTCCACGCGCAAGAGGAGAGGGAGAGACTCGAAAGGGTGGCAGCTCGAGAAGAGAGGGAACGCCAGGAGGAAGAGGCAAGAAGAAGGGAAGAAGAGGCCCAAGCACAGCGCGAGCAGAGAGATGAAAAGAAGACCGAGGCCGATCCCGAGCCACAAGATGAGTCGAATGCAAGTGTAGGCACCAAGGGCAAGGAGAGAGCAGCGACAGAGGAAGAGGCTACTGCTCCGGGTCCTTCTTCATGATTTCATAAAGCGACATCATTATACGGAAGTAGCAATGCTCAGACAGATACCCTTGCATGAAGTCAATACATATTTCATTCACATTGCACCCTGGAATATGTCTCATCCGGTGCTACCTACCAAATTTCGGTGTCACATCAGTCTTGTATACGCTCGCCAGCAGCGAGCCATAGTACCTGTAGAGTCTGCCATACCTTCGGTCCGATCATATCTTATTTCAAATCATGCTCCGGTATGGATAACCTCTGTCGGCGGCGGTGCAGAATATTGCGAATGTCTGACCCGGGGCGCGCCTGCCATGTTCAAGACAAGGGTCCATACTAGCGCACAACCAGCTAGCTCACCTCCACACGTGGATTGATGCAC